TCCTCCTCCCCGTCGGCGTCCTCCTCCTGTACTTCCTCCTCCTCCTCCTCCTCCCCGTCGGCGTCCTCCTCCTGTACTTCCTCCTCCTCACAGCCTCGTAGGGAGCACGCCATCGTCTTGGTAGGTGTCCAGCCCCCTCCTCCTCCTCCTCCTCCTCCTCCTCCTCCTCCTTGTCCTCCTCTCCGTCGTCCTCCTCCTCCTGTACTTCCTCCTCCCCCTCCTCCTCCTCCCCGTCGGCATCCTCCTCCTGTACTTCCTCCTCCTCCTCCCCATTGTCGTCCTCCTCCTGTACTTCCTCCTCCTCCCCCTCCTCCTCCTCCTCCTCCCCCTCCTCCTCCTCCTCCTCCTACCAACGTGCGGCTGTCACGTCAGCACGCGCCCAATTCTTGTATTTTTTTTGTTCTTCTTCTTCCGCCTCGTAATCCCCCTCCTCCTCCCCCTTGTATTCTTCTTCTCCTCCTCTCCTCCTCATATTCTTCTTCTTGTTCTCCTCCTTGAATTATCGGCCTCCTGGTCCCCTGTTTTTTTGTTGTTTTTTTTGTCCGATCGATCGATCAATCAATCAATCAATCAATCAATCAATCAATCGATCGATCGAAGATGCCATCGAATTGATTGATTCAATAGGATCTTACAAAAAAAAAAAAAAAAAAAAAAAAAAAACAGGGAAGGAGGCCGTTAACAAAAACAACAGATGAGTAGGGGGACAAGTACGCGGACGAAGACGAAGAAGCGGGGCAGGAGGAGGTCGTGGCAATGGAGAAAGACGAGGAGGAAGTCTAAGAGAAGGACGACGACGAAGGAGGAGGAAGAGGAGGAGGACAAAAAAGAGGGCGAGGAGGAGGACAAAACAGAGGGCGAGAAGGAGGAGGACAAAAATGAGGGCGAGGAGGAGGAGGACAAAGAAGAGGTGGAGGAGGAGACCACGGCGATGGAGGAGGAGGGAGAGAACTTAGAGGAGGAGGAGGAGGAGGAGGAGGAGGAGGAGGAGGGCGAGGACGAGGACTGGAAAGAGGATGAGGAAGAAGAGGAGGAACCCCCCCCTCCCCCCCCACCTCCATATGTAAATAATAATTAAAAAAACTTTTGCGTTCGGTGGGTGTTGGGACCCGTTCGCATTCGGCGACCGAATGCAAACAAAATGCTACGCAGATTGGGTCCACGTTTTTGTAAGTTCGCACACAGGTAAAGTTTGTTCTTTTTGTTTACCTTGTCGCACGCACACGTGAATTTTCTGTTTTTTAACTTTGTCGCACAGGCATGATTTTCTTTTTTTCACCTTGTCGCACACGCACGTTGTTTGCCTTTTCCTGTTCCTCATTGGGTCCACATTTTTGTAAGTTCGCACACACATAAAGTTCGTTCTTTTTCTTTACCTTGTCGCACACACACGTGAATTTTTTGTTTTTTAACCTTGTCACACACGCATGATTTTCTTTTTTCACCTTGTCGCACGCGTGATTTTCTTTTTTTCACCTTGTCGAACACGCAAGTTGTTTGCCTTGTCCTGTCACGCATTGGCTCCACGTTTTTGTAAGTTCGCACACAGGTAAAGTTCATTCTTTTTGTTTGCCTTGCCGCACAGACACGTGAATTTTTTGTTTTTTAACCTTGTCGCACACGCGTGATTTTTTTTTTTCACCTTGTCGCACACGCACGTTGTTTGCCTTGTCCTTTCCCGCATTGGGTCTACACCAGCCGAAGAAGAGTACTAATGTGAGTGTGCACTCTTCTTTTCCAATTTGTTTTCCGCACTCATAGGGCGTCGTGTTCTGCTATTCTCTACGTGCACTAAAGACAAGAATCATGGCGTGGTATATTTCCATGTTCTAGCGGAAGATTCCCTCTCGTTTTGCACATTTTGAGAGTGGTGGAGCGAGGCCCGTATTGTGCATGAAGGTGGCAGCTTTTTGTGGCTGGCTTCGAGGTGAACCCTATCGGCTTCCCCCAAACACAGCGCAACCTGATGATGACATGTATAAAGGTGTCTTTCCGGTCCGATTTGGTCAGCTTTTCGCTTTTTTCCTTTCATTTTTTCTTTTTTTTATATTAAACTGATCAGAACAGACAGTACACTTGATCTTCGCCAAAAGGACGAGAAACACATTAATCCTCAAAATTACTGCGGCCAAAAAAAAAGGAAAGAAAAGAGAACTGTGGACGGTTGGTGTAGCATATCAGAAAGTGAAATGCACTAACAGCCTAGGATCTAGCAATGATGAAAGTGGCAACAACCAGCAGCATAGATGCAACATTCACCAGATGTCAATGTGCACAATGCAACAAGTAAACCAACGAGAAAAACAACAACAACACATTTGCATCATC